CTGTGGCACCAGGGCAGCTAGGTCATTGTCTAAGGCCACGAGGACTGTAAAGTGTGACATCAGAAGCCTGCAGCCAGCCACTTTCTACTAATTTTTCTCACTTAAAATGGTTGGCTGCCCTGGCCGGTGGTGCTCAGTTGGGTGAGCGTCATCCCATGCACTGAAGGGTCACCAGTTCCTGGTCAAGGCACTTACCCAGTTTGCTGGCTTGGTCTCTGGTCGGGGCACATGCGGGAGACAGCTTAGCAATGTTTCTCTCTCACATTGATGTCTCTCTCTCCCTCTCCCTTCCTCTCTCTCTAAAATCTATAAAAACATATTGAACTTATATGCACATATGCATAACCCATGGACACAATAGTGTGGTGAATGCCGGGGGGCGGGGTGCAGGTGGAGGGAATCAATGTGAAAACAAGGGGGCATTTGAAATACTTTCAACAATAAAAATAAATTTTAAAAACATTTTAAGTGTTAAAATGGTTGGTTGTGATGCATATTAAATGGCCTCACATGAAAGTCCTTCATGAAGCAGAACAACATCAGGATGCCAAGCACTGCGGTTGGCTGGTGACCAGAGGCAGGAATAGAGCCCAGAATCCCTGAACCTCAGAGAACCTCATTTCTGTCCAAAGGAAGGGAGCCCAGGACAGCGGCAGGACACAGGCTTGTGGGTTTCTAATAAAATGATGCAGACAATAATCATTATTTTTAATTTGTTTTTATTGATTTTTCAGAGAGAGAAATGGCGAGGGAGAGAGAGACAGAAACATCAATGACAGAAACATCTATTGGCTGCCTCCTGCCCCCACTGGGGATGGAGCCTGCAACCCGGGCCTGGAATTGAACTGGCAACCTCTTGGTGCATGGGTCAGTGCTCACCCACAGAGCCACAGGCCAGGTACAGACAGTCTTTATTGAACAGAAGAATTTTTAAAAATACTGTCAGTTCAATATTTTTTAAATACTAATGTGTAACAGATGTGGCAGTGTTTTATAAAAATATAAAGCTTGCAAAAATGTACAGTGGCACAATATGCTTAATAATTATTTGGAGAAGTTAAAGGCGGGGAGAAAACCTGGACGAAGCCGTATCTGCCCACAGCTGTGCTCTGGGCCGCAGGTCCCGAAAAATGGCCACACTGTCACATGAAGACAGGGGCCCAGGGACTGGTGTGGCTAATTGTCAACATTTGTGAGACTTGATAAAGATACTCTTTCCGCTACTCACTTGCTTCGGAATGTGCCCTCCCCCAGCCTGGGTGGGTCTCCCAGGGCAGCTCTGAATGTGCAAGTTCAGGCTCAAGAAGCAGAAGGAGCCTCTCTGCTCTGTGTTTACACTAGGACAAAGCCGCGGTCCCGGTCACCAGCACCTGCGGGGACCGAGTGCAGCTCTGTCCCTACACTCACGGCTCGTCACAAAAGCAGCCGAGCCAACAATTCCTAGGCCAGAGCAAGACAGAGCTGGGCCAAGATGCCTTCAAGCCAAAGCTCTGGTTTCTGAAGAAAAAGATTTATTTCACTAAAATTAGAATCTTTCCAAACTAGATTATACTCTGTAAGGCATTTGCTGTCCCAGCCTGAGAAGCAGGGCTCAGCGAGAGGTGGTCAGCTCTCCTCAAACACTTACCCAAGTTTTGTTGGACCATTGGATTTGGACAGACTTTCCACCCATCATACACTCCTAAAAAGAAAGCTCAGAAAGGTCTCAAGCACTTTCTTTTTTAAAACATTTAATTAATTAATTTAATTTATGTATTCTAATTTATTTTTTTATTAAATGTATTTGGGTGACATATATAAAATTATATAAGTTTCAGGGGTACAGTTCTATATACATCATCTGTGCATTGTATTGTGTGTTCACCACCCCAAGCCAAGTTTCCTTCTTCCATCACCATTTATCCACCTTTTTCTCTCTCCTGCCTCCCCCAACCTCCTTTGCCCTCTGGTAATCACCATACTGTTGTCTGTGTCTTTGAGTTTTCTTCTTTACCCTTTCACCCAGCCTCCCTACCCCTTCGCCCCCGACAGCTGTCAGTGTTCTCAGTATCAATGAGTGTGTTTCTATTTTGTTTGTTTACTTTGTTCATTTGATATCCCATATAAATGAAATCATATTGTATTTTTCTTTCTCTGACTGGCTTATTTCACTTAGCATAATATCTTCTAGGTCCCTCCATGCTGTCTCAAAAGGTAAAATGTCCTCCTTTTTCACAGCTGCATAGTATTCCATGGTGTGAATGTGCCACAGCTTTTATCCACTCACCTACAGATGGGCACTGGGGCTGTTTTCCCATCTTAGCTGTTGTAAATAACACTGCAATGAACATAAAGGTGCATACATCCTTTCGGGTTTCTTCCGATGTTCCCCAGGAGTGGGGTCCCTGGGTCATAGGCAGAGCCATCTTTAATTTTGTGAGGTAACTCCATGCTGCTCCCCCCGGGGCACTCCCTCCAGCAGTGCACGAGGCTCTCTTCTCTTCACATCCTCACCACCACTTGTCCTTTGTTGATTTGCTGATGGCAACCATCCTGGCAGGTGTGAGGTAATATCTCATTGTGGTTTTAATTTGCATTTCTCTGCTGATCAGTGACTTTGAGCATCTTTTCATGTCTATTGGCATCTGTATGGCCAATAGAGAGAGAGAGAGAGAAAAAAAAACAACGCAGGCACGTGCCCTGACCAGGAATTGAACTGGCAACCTTTCGGTACATGGGGCAATGCCCAACCCACTGAGCCACACCAGCCAGGGCTTTGCCCATTTTTAAATTGGATTTTTTGTCTTCCTGGTGTTGAGTTTTATGAGTTCTTTGTAAATTTTGGATATTAACCCCAATCATTGACAAACATGTCCTCCCATTCAATAGGTTGTCTTTTCATTTTGTTGATGGTTTCCTTTGCTGTGCAAAAAAATTTTGTTTGATGTAGTCCCACTTATTTTGTTTGTTTGTTTGTTCGTTTCCCTCGCCTGAGGAAATGCATCAGAAGAAAATATTGCTAAGAGAAATGTCTGGGATATTACTGCCTATGTTTTCTTCTAGGATTTTTATAGTTTTGAGTCTAACATTTAACTCTTTGATCCATTTTTATTATTATTTTTTGTTATCCTCACCAGAGGATATTTTTTTCCTTTGCTTTTCAGTGACAATGGAGGGGGGGCGGGGAGGGAGAGAGGCAGAGCTACAGAAAGAAACATGGATGTGAGAGACACGTGGACTGGCTGCCTCCCGCACATGCCTGAAACAGGGGCGGAGCAAACTGGCAATCCAGGTTTGTGCCCTTGAGGGGTAATCCAACCCGAGACCCTCAGGTGCACAGGCTGACACTCTAACCACTGAGCCATCGGCTTCACCTCATCTATACCCAGCGGATTTCAGGAGTCCGGGCCGTGGCAGACACCCAGCGGTTTGCTTGTTTGGTATTTTGTCTGAGTTGACATGCATCTATTTTTGGAACACAGAACAAATTTTGGAAGCATTCTGGCTGTTCAGACAAATCCCATTCAATGGGCCAAATTCAGAGGCTGGTGTGGGGCCTGAGGAGGCGGCGGTCCCTCTGAGCCTCAGCCCAGGGACCGTCTCCAAGGAGCCCAGTAAACACCCCTCAGTGGAGGCCAGACTGTCCTGCCGAAGCCCCGAGCTCAGCTCTCAGAACTCAGCCCCGTAGGGTCAGGGGCCTGCTGCCCTTGGAATGTGCTGAGCCCGCTCCTGGGTTCGGCCGTTCCCGTGCCACAGGCCGCGTGCCCTGGGCCTGCAACAGCCTTCCAGGGAGGTTTCAAATCCCGGGCGTATCTCCCTTTGGAGGGACGCTGCCATGGGCCACGAGGGCATCAAGCTGACACCGCCTGCCTGAAGCACCGTCTTATATAAAAGCTGCTGTTTGACATTCTAACGCTGCATCCTGGCTTCTGTAGATGCTGGCTTAAATAATAAGGAAAATAAGACTACTCCCATTCCAGAGAGGCCATTAAACCTTCCCCAGACAAAGTTATCAGCACTGGCACCAGGCCGAGCCTTTGGTTGAGGTCTCAAAGCCCCAGCACATAGGGGCTCATTAAGAACTTGCAAAGGGGACCAGAAAACCCCATATTTGGGAGACAAAGAGGGTAAGATGGTATAAATACAGGAAATTTCCTGTGTGACTTTGCCAAGAATCCTAGAGACATTTTCCTCTGGACCCGCACATAATAATAATAAATGTAACTCCATCTCTCTAAGCGCTGCTTGGTTCTTCTCCAGTTTTCTGTAACAAGCCAATGGAGACGTCCCTAGCTCGGTCCAGGCCACACCCGCACCTCACCCCCCCTGCAGGAAAGGCTGCATCGTTGAAGCTCAGCTCCCACACGTCTTACAGGAAATGCGGCGCCTGGTTTAGTCCCATAAACTCATGAACTGCAGCCGAGGGTGAAGGTGAGGGAACGGGGGGGGGGGGGGGGGGGGGCAGGGAAGGAACCGGATGGGGCACAGCCAGGAGGCGGCGGAGCCCGGGCCCTGCAGGGAGGGGAGTGAAGAGCAAGGCTGGCACACGTGGCCGGGCAGTCATCCAGGTGAGGCCGGACTGGCCCTCTGGGCAGGGACTCAGGTCCTCATGCTGAGACCCAGGACCAGGGCAGAGCCCAGCTTTGACAGAGGGGACGGTTCTGTCCCCGAGCACAGTGGCCAGCACCGGGTGAGTCTGAGCTGGACTCGTTGTGAGGATCACTTGGCGCAGCTCCAAGTCAGTGAGGACGCCTCACCCCGCAGTTCCCGCAGCCAGGCCAGCGCGCGGCCCATTCCCGCCCCCACCCCCGGTCCCCCTACCCCCCACCCCCCCCAGCGCACAGAGCCCGGCCTCCGCTCAGGACTCAGGAGGGACAGGACTTGGTTCTGGACACGCTGCCCTCTGTCTGGGAGGGACACAGGTCGTCAGCGTCAGCAGCAAACAGGGCAGAGGCCACCCGTGCTGGGCTGTCGCTCCTGGTCACGGCTCTGCTGGCAAGCGTGGGGTGCGCAGGCAGCACAACACTCTTTTGGGTAAATTTAATTTGAAAAGAACATTTTAAAGGAGCCCAAAACATAATCACAGAGTGAAACAGGGAGGAGGGTGCTGTCTCCAGGAGCTCAGGGTGCCAGCACCTCTGAACCCTCAGAGAGACAACAGAGCAACATGCGGGGCCCACGGGGCAGCCGCTGCCAGGAAGCCGGGCACCAGGAGGGCTCAAGGCGGGAACAGTGAGGAGGAGCAGGCAGGCGCGCGGAGTTCGGAGGTGAATGTCACCGTCACCGAGTGGCTGAGGGGGCAGGCCCGTGCTCCTGCTCGCTCACCTGAAGGACAGACGCCTGAGGGCGGTGCTGAGCGGTAGGAAGTCCTGGTGCCGGGGTCAAACTCGCGGCCCCAGATCTGCACCTGCTTCTCTGAGGCCTGTGTCCATCACAATGTTTGGCAAAACGGTGACCACTGCATAAGGGAGCCGGTTCCCGACGTGACATCCTCAGCTCCCCACGGACACACCAGCTGCAAGCAGCACCTGACCGTCTGACTCTGTGGGTCTGGGGTCTGAGAACATTCTTTTCCAGCAAGTTCTGGTGATGCTGGCGATGCCCCATCCTGGGAACCACCTGGGAAAGGCGTGCATGTGGCGAAGGAGCTGACGGGCAGCCAGTGCGGGGGACGCGGCTCCCAGCCATTCCAGCACCACGTACCGAGAAAACGTCTGTACCTGTTAACAAAACCATGTTCTGGGTGCACAGGCGTCACCTGGGTGTCGCCTTGTTGGTTTCTTACGTTGTGTAGGAAAGAGGCCAACGTCCGTTCAGCGGGTGGCTCCCGCCGGGCACCACTTGCTGGGAGCACTGTCCCTTCCCAGCGGGAGGGCTGGCAGCGTGGAGCAGCTGGTGTTTACAGAGAATGGGTTCCCCGCCCTCCTGGGGGTGCTACACGGGTTAGAGGTTCTGCCGCTGCTCACACCTCAGTAATGGGCTGATGGGGCGAGGGCAGTCGGGCTCACTGTGGGGAGCATGAGGAATAATGTTCTGTCTATCTATCGACATAGGTTTATAGCTTCACCCCTGTGTTGTTGGGTTCTTCTGAATATCTCTCATTACGCTACATATTTTCATCAACTTCAAGTTCACAAACTTCCTGTCTTCAAACACTATTCTGTTTTGAAGGGAGAATATGTTCTAGTCAGGTTAAAAGTTCAAAAAGAGAACAACAGTATGCTCCCGCCCCAATATTGTTAGTCTTTTGTTATCAGGAAACTCGTTTCGAAGAAAGTGAGATTAGGCCCAATCTTTTGTTAATAAGGCATTTGGTGGAACATGGCTGTGGCAGGAAGCTGGGCTGTGAATGTTTGTGTAACATCAGTTTATTCCCTTCATTCAGCGTGTAATTATTGTGTGAGCTACATGCTGGGACACGTTCTGAGGACAGACTAATGAAATAAAATGGGCAAAAATCTTGTTTGGGAGAATATGTTCTAGTGAGGAGCCATTCTATATATATAAAACCCTAATATGCAAATAGACCGAACAGTGGAACAACAGAACAACCGGTCACTATGATGTGTGCTGACGACCAGGGGGTGCACGCAAAACATGGCAGGCGTCAGCAGCGCCCAACATGGTGGGCGTCGGCTGTGGAGGGATGGTGGAGCAGGTGAGCGGGGGCGCCAGACCAAGGCCAGTCGCTGTCATCTGGGTGAGCCTCTGGTGGTTACTGAAATTCTTTGCACCCGCGTGCTGTGGTCCCCCCGGCACTCACACCCGCTGCCAGCACCAGTGCCAGTCACGATCACTCCGCGCTGTCAGTGGGTGCGAGCTGCGCCTCCGGCCCCGATCGCCCCTCAGGGCTTCCCCACCTCCCCTGCTCCTGAAGGGGGATCAGGGCAGCAACTGCTGTTTGTACATGTTGACGGCGCTGGCCCCTTTCGCACCCGCTGCTGGCGCAGGCCCCAGTCACTCTGCACCATCAACAGGTGCAAGCCAGGCGGGAGCTCTCAGTGCCTGGGAGCAGCAGCAGCTGGAGCGGGGCTGCGGGCAGACAGGGGACCGGAGCGGCGGGAGGGCCCAGGTGGGGGCGCAGAGGATGGGGCACGACCCGCCCATGTGCCCGCAGCAGCCTCTCGGCCCACAGTTCCTTTCAAGGTGCTTAATAAGAGGAAAGGGTCCCACGCACCTGCCAGAGCACAAACTTGCCGTTCCCAGAACACGGGCACTTGGTAAAGAGGCCAGTTCGTGCTCGTGTACCCGAGTGGCTGGCCTGGCAGCCAGCCTGTCTCACCGGGGGCATGTTCTTGGCACAGCTGCCACCAAACAGACTAAAAAGAAAATAGTCATTCTGTAATTGCGGCATATAACCCTTTCACCTCTGCAGGCTTACTAAATAAAATGTGATTGAGCAATATGTAAAGGCAAGGTTTTTTTGTGATTTTGCTTCCAATTTGTTTCAGAAAATGTTTTAGGAGCTCAAAACCGGCAAACCTTTCCACTGAATCTGTAGAGCACAGCCCCTGGGCCATCACTCGCTCCCGGCCACCCGCACACTTTGAGAAGCAAAACGTAAAGAGAAAACTGTGAACTGTGGAGTCAGGCCCGTGTCTGAATTCCAGAAATGCCACTTTTATCTCCTCTGCGAAGTGGGAAGAACTCTTGATATTAAATGGAACAAGCGGTGCAGAAAGAAGTGTCTGGCATGGTATCCAGCAGAGTCAGTGATCAGTAAGTAGCACCGTCACTTACTCCTGAGCCGTGTTCGCTGCGCCTCCTTCCTGTAAACACCGGAGGAGCCTGGGAGGCCGCCCAGGGAGGGGTTTCTAAGACGCTCTCTTTGGGAGACGTTGTTAAACGCAGGGCCGAACAGTGGAGAGAGAACAGTGTGCTTTCCTCTGATACGTTTCCAAGCCGCTGTGGGAAATTTTGATCCACTCTTAATGCAATATTTTTTCAATCATCAACATACGTCCATCCTCATCTTTTCGCCCACAGTTTCCTTCTCCCTGCCCTCACCCACACATTCCCCTTTTGTACCTCAGCCATGTGATCTGGTCCCCGCTGGTCACGTTAGGTCTGAGAGGCAGGTGTGGCATGGGGACCTGTCCCTCGGCTCCCTCGCTCTGGAAGCGGCGGAGGGCCACGCGTGGCGAGTCCTGCAATCTTCCGCCGTCCGCAACCCAGGCCGGCGGCAAGAGGGGTGCCAGTGGCCCTGACATTCCAGCATGAGACACACAATGATGATGGCAGTGCATGTTTATCAGCATCATGGAAACGCCCGGGCGAGGGTGCTGAGGCCAGCCTGGCCAGTGCTCACCTGCTGCAGCCTTAGTTGTCTCCTCTGTGAAACGGAGACACCAGAGCTGTCTGGGCGCCAGCAGGCTCTGTGGCCATCTCGCCTGCTTCTCTGGATTGGCTCTGGCTGCTCCGCCCTATTGCTCACACCACCATGCTTCCTGCCCTCATCTTAATTTTTCTCTGCCACGGTCCCTTACTGCTCCTGACAGTGACCTGAGCATGGCGTTCCGGGTGCAGCCTTGCCCCTGGAGAACTCAGGTTCCTCCAGGAGGTCCCATCCTCCACCTGCACCAGCACGGGGTGGGGAGGGGCTGCCCAGGAGGCACCCACACAGCCAGCCTGCTGGGCCTGCAGGTAGCTCTCCTTCTGGCCTCGGGGCCTGTCGGTGGCACCGGGCCGGGGGAAGGTGGGGGTGCAGCCTTGTCACCTTTCCTCGGTGAAGCCACAGCCACAGACGGAGCGCCCACCTTCCCATTTTCCGTCTGCACAGGCCCAGGATGGTGCTTCTGCCGCAGGGAGCTCGGGAGCGACTGCGCTGCTGGGGCTTAAAGCCTCAGACTTGCTGTTTTTACCAGGATCTAGTAGATTTTCTTGAATGTCTGGTTCTCCATTTTCTTTATGGCCTTAGGACAATTTCCAGAGATTTTAAATGGTTTATTTCTTTATAATTTTCACCAGTGAAATGGTTGTTTTGCGGGAGAGAGGGTCCTCTGAGCACCTTATTCTCTCGTTCCAGAATCCCCCCGGCTGTTCCGGAAGGGCACCTTCTCCGGCTCAGTGAAGGTGGCCACGGCGCACGCCTGGCAGCGGCCTCCCAGCTGCAGCCGCTGTCTGACCAGCAGTGAGCTCTATGTGGAACCAGGCTGTGAATTGAGGTATCAATTATGATCAAATTTTTAAAAATAATAAACCATATTTGGTCACATTGCTTTCACCAAAATTACTATTGAGTGAGAGCAAACTATGTTTACACTGTTTATAAAGAAAAATTAAATTACTTTTTAAAGTGCCTATTGCTATTCCATCGCTATTTAAAATGCATTTCATGTCTTAAAATGGGCGTCCGTCCTGGTGCCACAGCAGACAAAAGCTAAACAAGGGGCACAGAGTCCGCTGTGGGCCGTGGCGCCGGGTCAGGCCCGCTCCGCAGCCGCGGCCCACACACCACTGCGTGCGGCAGGCGTGTGTCACGGGGGCGTCGCGGGTGGTAAACAGGGCTCACATCCAGCGACACCAGGAGCCGCTTGACGTGTTTCCCAAAATGCCGGGCCCTCTGGGATTTGTTTCAGAAGCTGAGGTGCCCTGGCCTCCAAGAGCCTCCTCCCAGGAAACGTAAAACTTGGCCAAACGGTGGGGTCAGGGCGGCCTGGCTTGTGCTGCACTCACCTTTTGCTGAGTGACAAACGGGCCCTCACGCTGCCGTGTGAAACATAAGCACGTGGCCGTGGACTGTGGGCTCAGCTGGGAACCTCCAACACGGCCCCTGACAGGCTGGGAGGGGGCACCTGGCACCTCTTCACTCCAGGCTGAGCCGTCTGCCTGGCGAGGGCCCCTGCCATGTGCCGGCCTCTCAGCCAGGCAGCGGGGCCCTGAGTGAGGCCAGCAGGCGGCTGGCGCTCTGTGGCTGCCCTGAGGGGCACAGAGCTCATCCCACTGAGTCCTGGGCAGGATGGCCGAGAGCCTGCTCAGACAAAAGGGGAGGGACGTCGGCCCACTTCCTCACTAGAGCAACATGAAAGAGCTTGTGGCCATCGTTTACGCAACATGAATTTCCCTGGAAAATGACATTGTGACTTCACATGGACATAGTGCAGAGAAGAAGCAGTTTTTCTATCACTTTGGCCAATGCTAACTGAGGCTCAATCATAAACTTAAGAACTTTCCAACGACGCAGAGGGCAGCTCGCAGCTCGCATTTCCTAAGGAAGCGGCGCAGGGCAGGTGAGCTTGTCAGGGCAGCAGAGAGCGGAGGTGCTCCCCGGGATCACGGGGCACCAGGAGGGCATGGGTCCCATGAGGACAGGGACCCCAGGGCCCAGTGCCCTGCCTCCTAACTGCGCCCATGGCTGACTGGGAATAAATCAAGAGTCCCCTGAATTCTTGGGCCAAAGTCCTGCAAATGTGAAAAAACTAGAAGTTCTTTTGTCTGGAAAATAGCACCATAAATCCTGGCCGTGCAGTCAGCCCACTCGCAGGACACAGGCACAATTCGCTGCGTGGAGGATTGTCCCAGTCAGGGTAGGCCACGCGGACTCATCTCCGTCAGCTGAACCATCACTGTAAACGGTATGAGCGTGCACAGGAGTGAGTCCGTGGCGGGACTGCAAGTCATCTTGCGCCGTGGAGGCTCCTCTAGGGGCACTAGGCTCGAGGGCTCATCAATTCCTTTCCACTTAGCATTACAAGAACCACCGGAGGAAATATGCAGAGACGTCAGTGCAGCTGCAGTTCACGGGGTTTATTACTCACACGGGGACCGTACAGATCTCCTGGTGCCCTGGGCGCTGGCTCAGGGGACCCGCATGTTGTTATGGGGCGGGTGTCTCTGGGTGCGGCTGGAAGGGCTCCGGTTCTGGAACAGGCTGTGCCTCCTTCCCGAGGGGCAGCTCAGCCAGCAGCAGCAGGCGTCCGACCCTAGAGACCTCCGCGAGGCGCCAACTCGAGGGAGCGTTCCTGTCCCCCGGCCTCAGCAGGTGTCTTCCACCCAAGGGCTGAGCACAGCGGCTCGGGACCCCCAAGGAGAACTTGTGTGCACTTCAGGTCCTCTTTTATCGCCGGTTTGCTGGTATTGCCCACAGCAGCCCAGGCCTCCTCTGGGGGAACAGGCGGTGCGTGCGCTTACGGGGGCCGCGCCCTGTGCAGTGTGTGGCCGGCCTGCTAACTGCGGCCTGTCAGACGTCACTCAATCCTAGAGCGCTTCCCAAATTGAGGTTTACACTCCGTTACAATCCACACTTCAAATTCATACAACATATCACTCTATAATCAGATGGATTATCAGGGTCTCCAGAAGCCGCGGGCTGAGCGACGGTTGCTGGAAGACACTGCTCCCGGGGACCCCCCAGAGGAGACAACCCCGAGCCCAGGCCCCAGCGTTCCTGCCAGGCCCAGGGGAGCAGAGTGAGGACTGAGGCCCCAGGCTCCAGCCCCGCCAGCGCCTCCACCTGGGAACAGGGCGTGGGGAGGCGCGCCCACGTGGGAACTGCTGTGGTCCTGGGCTGGAGCGCAAGGGCGTTTGCGCTGAGCAGAAGCTGCTGGCACGGGGGCTGCGCAGCGAGAGAGGTGGCCGAGGCCAAGGTGAGCACTGGCAAGGTCAGCGCCTCCTGTCCCCACGCACTTTCCTGCAATCGTGTTTATTTTCCTTTTTTACTCACTTCTTTGGGTTAAATCCTTGGAAGCTGATATAAAAATAAATAAATAAATAAATAAATAAATAAATAAATAAATAAAGGTCACCCCAGGGACTGCTCACATTAAATCGTGACGCACCTGAGCAGCTGGAGGCTGAGCTCTGTGCCGGGTGGAAGCTGGCCCTGCAGAGGAAGGCTCAGGCAGAGGCAGGGAGAGGGCAAGAGCAGTGGTGAGAAGGCAGGTGCCGCCAGGAGCCGTGAGCCCCACGGAGGCCACCAGTGCCTGGAGCCCGTCTGCAGTGCCTGTGCTTCCTCTGGCTTCGTCTGCACGACCTGTGTCCATTACAGTATTGTTCTCCTCACCATGTGGGGAGGGGCTCTCCACCTCCCGAAGGGGAAGAAGCACAGGACCGGACCTGCTGGGGACGCCCAAGTGGTGCTCCGGGCCACACGGTTTCCCCACTGCCAGCTCCAGCAACGGCTTCTCCGGGAGAAAAGCCTTCGTGAATGATGCAATGCCGTCAGCAGGCCGGGGAAGAGTGCAAACTCATCTGCGCTAACTAGAAAGTGTACCAAGGGCCAGGCTTAGAGCCGTGTCCCTGCTTCGTTCAGCTGACATACTAGACCTCCTCTGTGCCCTCAAAAGTCATCCCGGCTGGTTAAGCCTCCAGCTGCTCAGTGACAATGTCAGCTTGGGAACCAGGAGCAAACTTCTTCCAGGGCCAACACCACGACCAGCCCCCACACGTCTGGACCTGGGTCTGAAAGAGTAAAAGTCAGAGCGGCGACTTACATGTTTGGACCTTGGCCACACGCACCCCCAGGAAGGCCTCTCCTGCATGTATTTGGAGGCTGAACTGAGCTTTGGCTGCAAGAACCACTATAGAAAAATTTAGATTCAATAATTGAATCTAAAAATCAAAATAAACAAAAAAGAAATCTAATGAACAGAATAAACTGGTGAATAAAATAGAGCCAGAGGCATGGAAATGAAACAGACTGACAATTCTCAGAGGGGAGAGGGGAGAGGGGTGGGGTGGGGGTGGGAAGAGATTAAACAGAGACCTCATATGCATATATGCATTACCTATGGACACAGACAATAGTGTGGCAAAGGCCTGGGGTGGGGCGGGAACTGGGTGGAGGGCGGTAATGGGAGTGGGGGGAAGAGGGACATGTGTAATAAAGGACATCTCAATAATAAAGATATTTTTTAAAAAGCACCATTGAGTTGAATCTGGAAACATTATTTCCCACACGCACGCCCCCTCTGCTCCGGTGGGTCGCAGTGAGAAGACAGTGAGACAGGGGTGATTCTTGCAGGTCCCCTTCTTACCTGTAGGGTTTGTATAGTTTTCTCCTGGCATCCAATTCTGGAGGATATTTTCTATCCAGTATTTTATTTTTTAAATCTTTATTGTTGAAAGTATTACATATGCCCCCTTTTTCCCACCACTGACCCCTTCTAGCCTGCCCCCACCCCACCCCCCAGGCCTTCATAGACCTATTGTCTCTGTCCATGGGTTGTACTTATATGCATACAAGTTCCCACCCACTCACCTTCCCCGCCTTCCCTCTGGGATTCCACACTCTGTTCCATGCTTCCACGTCTCTGGATCTATTTAGTTCATCAGTTTATGTTGTTCATTAGATTCCACATATGAGTGTGATCATGTGACACTTGTCTTTCTCTCACTGGCTTATTTCACTTAGCATGATACTCTCCAGGTCCCTCCATGCTGTCCCAAAGGGTAAGAGATCCTTCTTTTTTACAGCTGCATAGTATTCCATGGTATAAATGTACCACAACATTTTTATCCACTCATCTACTGATGGGCATTTGGGCTGTTTCTATATCTTAGCTATTGTAAATTGTGTTGCTATGAACATAGGGGTGCGTACATTCTTTCCGATTGGTGTTTCTGGTTTCTTAGGATATAGTTCTAGAAGTGGGATCACTGGGTTAAATGAGAGTTCAATTTTTAATTTTTTGAGGAAACTCCATACTGTCTTCCATAGTGGCTGCACCAGTCTGCATTCCCACCAGCAGTGCACGAGTGTTCCCTTTTCTCCACATCCTCGCCAGCACTTGTCATTTGTTGATTTGTTGATGATAGCCAGTCTGACAGGTGTGAGGTGGTACCTCATTGTTGTTTTGATTTGCATCTCTCGGATGATTAGTGACTTTGAGCATGTTTTCATATGTCTCTTGGCCTTCTGTATGTCCACTTTCGAAAAGTGTCTATTTAGGTCCTCTGCCCATTTTTTGATTGGATTGTTTATCTTCCTTTCGTTAAGTTGTATGAGTTCCCTATAAATGTTGGAGATTAAACCCTTATCGGTGATAACATTGGCAAATATGTTTTCCCAGGCAGTGGGCTTTCTTGTTGTTTTGTTGATGGTTTCTTTTGCTGTGAAGAAGCTTTTTATTTTGATGTAGTCCCATTTGTTTATTTTCTCCTTAGTTTCCATTGTCCTAGGAGCTGTATCGGTAAAGAAATTGCTATG